GGTGCCTACTCAAAGTGGAATGGAATTGATTCATTGAACCATATTGTAAAATATCATCATAGAGTTTATTACTAATTATAGAAATACTTCTCTCTCTAGAACTAGGGTTTTGGCAAGAAAACAATGATGAAAATGATGATGTCAACCTCCAAGCTATTCCTTGAGGGTTCCATGACTATTACAATGAGTGACTAAATCCTTCTCTTGGGACTAGAGATAGCCCCTAGGCTCGCTTCGTAAACCTAGCTTTTGTGTATTTTTAAGGATTTTAGTTGTAATAGATGTTTTGATCATGAATAAATATAAATCTTGTAATTCCTACTTGATTTGTATAGATTAATGCTTTCAATTGATCATTTAGTTCTATCCATATGTCTATGTATGCTAAAATTGATGTTCATGTGTTTGTCTCTAGATTTAATGAAATTAATGCATGTCTATGTGTGTTGATGTTGTTAATCTAGTGATGATCAAGACATGATGCTTAATTGAACACTCTTGTGGTTTATTTGATGGTTCATACTTATTTCTTGATGGATTGTGCCACACCTTTAGTTTAATTTTTATGTCTCTAGCTTAGTTGTAGTGTAATTGCTTTAATTTCTTAGGTAGGTGGACAATTCATTCTTGTTGTTTGATGTTCCATACTTATGAATGCAAAGAGTGCATGTCTCTAGATATTTTTGTGTGCACTAATTGTGGTTTAATTGAATGGTTAGTGGTCTCATTTGATAGTTTGTGTTACTCCTTAGATTGATTAGACAATCTATGCTTATTTGCCATCTATGCTTAGTTTTTAATTAGTGGCACACACACAAAAATTATAACTTAAATTTCCCCATTAATTCACAATTGCTAGTGTTTAGTGAAGTGAATCTTAGTGGTAAACTCTAAGCCCCAAGACATCTCTCTCTCATAAATATTTTCCTAATTTCTAGATTGTTACTTACTTGCATTATTTTAATTGAATCTTAGTTTAATTAATCAATCAACCCATCTTTTGATCATTCGACCTACTAATCCAACATTGATTTCCAACCAAAAATACATTCCATTCCCTTGGGACGATCCCTACTTACTCTAACTACATTAATAGTTAGTAGTGGTAGTGGCATTCTATAAATTCAAACTTGGCCACACTACACACTTTTTGTGCTTCGGTGCTCGACACACACCAAGTTTTGGCGCCGTTGCCAGGGATTGGCACCGTCATATTTTGGAAATCAATTAGGAATTAGAACTCTTTTGATCTTGTCTTTATTTTTATTTTTATTTTATTTTGGTTACTTATTGTGTTTGTTTTTTATTGGCTAGGTGCATTGAGCCAAGAGAGTGAAGCAAAGGGAAATTCTAAAGCAAAAGGAGCAAGCAAGCTAAGCTAAGCAAACCAAAAGCATAAAAAGCTATAAATAAAAAAATAAAAAAATAAAAAAATAAAAAATAAAAAAAAATTGCAAAGCAAGGCAAGGTAAAGAAAAAAATTGAAAAATAACTTGAAGTTACTTAAGGACCCTTTGTGAGCTTCTAAACAAAGCAAGGCATGGTGCTTAATTGATTACTCTTGTGGTTTATTTGATGGTTCATACTTATTTCTTGATGGATTGTGTCATTTCCTTAGTTTAATTAGTTTAATCTTCATGTCATTAGCACAGTTGTAGTGTAATTGCTTTAATTTTATGGATAATCCATTCTTGTTGTTTGATGTTCCATACTTATGAATGCAAGTAATATATTTCTCTAATTTTTTTAGTGTGCATTAATTATGAGCTTATGGAATGATTAATGGCTTAATTTGATATGTTATGTTATTCACTAAATTGATTAGACAATATATGCTTACTTAGCTATCCATGTTTAATATTTCAATTAATGGCACACACTTCCTTTACAACACATAATCCCCTTAATCTATCAAATATTGAATGTCTAAGAAGGCAATGTTTAGTGGTGAACTTTATGTCCCAAAAATCCTCTCTCATTCTCTATACCTCATTTGTTTAGTTGTTTTACATTGCATTATTTTAGCTTAAATTGTAGTATAATTCAACCGACAAACTCCTCTTTTGATCATTCGACCTACTAATCCAACATTGATTCTGAAATACCGTGTCTTTCCCTTGGGATGATCCCTACTCACTCTTGCTACGTTAGTAGTAGTTTGTAGTGGTAGTGGCATTTTACAAATTCAAACTTAGCCACATTTTATCACATTTTGAGCTTTGGTCGACCAAACCACCACTTAGGAAGAAATCAAATAAACGAACTCAACTAAAGTCAAAAACGTGACGGTTTAAACATCCCTACCTCAAAAGTAGCCAAAATGCATCCCCGGCAGGAAAGTCAACTCCAGTCAACGCAGTCAATGCCGGTAAACGCCGGTCAATGGCAGTAGAACAAAAAATTATTTGATGGGAGCGTAGCCGACGACGAGGAGAATATACTGTTCCAAAGGCTCAGCTCCGGAATCTGACTTGAAGTGGCCTAAAACCCTCTTCGAAGTCTTAGATCCAAAAACTTCAAAAATCTGTAAAATAATCACTGTTCCTCCGAAAATTAAATCCTCTGACTATGTGATAGAGAACGACGAGAGGAACATTTTCCGTCAAGGAACCAAGACTTGACCGAAAAATGGAGGAGAAGAATTGATGCTTAAAAAAAATGCAAGGAGAGAATGAGAGAGTGACGTTAGGAGAGAGAGAGGCACTGATCAACCAAATGCCCTTATGGCCATTATAATAAATAACAATGGTGGGTCCCACAATTTTAATATATACTAATCAAATCACAACCACATAAATAAACATGTAACCACATAATTTTATATCAAATAATAATGCATAATATGCAACAAACCTGAAACACAGTCCCCGTGTCAACAACCCTGGTAACGGGCTTCACTTGGGACCTCCTGGCCCGAAAAACAAAAAAATGCCGAAATGACAAGCAATGCATTTTCAAGCGTTCTGAACTCAAGGAAATGCCCCAATCAACTCTCGGACCCATCTGGCACACCTCACGGTGCCCGGCATGGAAAATGAGACAAATCCAAAATAACCCCGAAAAATCGAAAAAATCCTAAAAATTTGAAAAATTGGGAAAATTAGGATCATTACAATCTACCCTCCTTAAAGAGATTTTGTCCTCGAAATCTACACTCTTAAAGAAGAAAGAGACCCACAAACACAGACCTTTCCAAGAGGCACCTCTCAAAACTGTAAGACTAAGAACTCACCAACCTTATTGCCTTCGACACTGTAAGTCCACAGGCAATCCTACACCACTGCCACAAAAACACAATGCTCACTACCCTATGAGGGTACTCATTAATCACCACATCATAACACAAAACCAGTTGGATTCATACCTGACTCAAACAGACATCAGTCCACTCTACACTGTAACGCAAGGCTTCGGAGCCCGAAAGAAGAACGGTCACAAAACCACTGAACATGACAACATCCAATCTCAACTCATCCTTCAATGGACACACTAACTCCAGACAAGGAACCCTGTCCATCTCACAATTAAGCTCAACTCAGATCTACACATCACTATCAAACCAAGTACTCGCTATCTAACAAATAGCTACACCATCACATATCGGTACAAGCGATCACCAACCACACATTACACTTAACAACCTCAAGATGACTAAACCGTGAATCTTCCAATGACTACATAATCATGAGTCACCAGAACAATAAATTATTATTCTTATTATTTCATAAATTTAATTTAATAAAAACGTTTCATTGTGGTGACAGGGTCAAAAGTTCCACTTAAATTCTTCTTTCATTGTGATAAAAGAGTTGAGTTCCACTAAAAATTCTTTCTGTAGTCATAATGTAACTTTGTTTCTCTAAAGGATGAGTTTCTGTAGTGGACTTATACTTCTAGTTTCATTTTTCTTTCCAGAAACTTCGTCGAAGTATGACTCTGTAGTGGACCTTTATTTACTGGTTTAATTTTTCTGTCACTGTGGCAACAGATGAAATCAATGAATAAACATTTCAACAATAGGTCTTTTAATTGGCCAACATAATGACTGTAAAATAGCAACAGTCACCAACATATTTTACTAGACACTCCACTATCCCACTATTTGTTTGTGTTATAATAGACATATATATATATATATATATTATTTCATAAATTTAATTTAATAAAAACGTTTCATTGTGTTGATAGAGTTAAAAGTCCACTCAAATTCTTCTTTCATTGTGATAAAAAAAGTCGAGTTCCACTCAAAATTCTTTCTATGGTCATAATGCAACTTTGTTTCTTTAAAGGATGAGTTTCTTTTGAGACATAATTTCTTCATGGAAATTTCATCAAAGTATGACTTTGTAGTGGACCTTTACACCTGGTTTCATTTTTCTTTCATTGCGGCAACAGATGAAACTATGAATTAATAGTAACATATTATTGCATGATAAAAGCATATGATTTGAAGGAGTAAATCAGAAGCATATTGGCATACTGTAGCACATTATCAGATAGTCTAGGTTTGTCCTCGTAAATACTTAAAATTTCAACCTTATACTTCACAAAGGTGAGGAAGTACATAAATAAACTGAAAAAAAATAAAAAATAAAAAATCAATCTCAAAGGCTCACACTAATTTTGGATTTTAGGGCACAATTAATTAAAAATTAAGAATTTAACATTCCAGAAGTGGTCCTTCAGTTGGTCGCCAAACATCTTCCACTATACCGTCCTCTTGTGATTAGACATAGCAGGAATGTGTCTTTCAGTGGATGAATATATTGTTGACTTTTCCAAGGAATAAATTTTGTCTTTTGGATGAGCTATTGAAATATGTTGTGCGAAAAAAAGAAAAAAATTCGGTAAGTAGTATAAATAGGGGTTGTCACATGGCTGGAGATGAAAAAGAAAACTAAGTTTATCGGCCTATTCTGAAAATGATGAGCGGAGAAATGTTGTTTAAACATTTCAAAGTGTTGGTTGTTGTGGTTTTTTTAGTAATATTGTGCTTGAAAATGAAACAAGCTCTTGGATTATTCAATAATTCACGAGTTGGTAAAGTAGTGAGGTGCATAGAGAGGGAGAGACAAGCTCTCCTTCAGTTTAAAGAAGGGATCTTTGATGATTATGGCATTCTCTCTTCTTGGGGGAACTCAATTGAAGACTGTTGCAAATGGAGAGGAGTTCAATGTAGCAACCGCACTGGTCATGTGATGGTGCTCGATCTTCACGTTCCCTCATACATTAATTATTAGCATCCTTGGGAAAATGATTAGCAGCCATTGGGAGGTACAATTAGTCCTTCTTTGCTTGAATTGCAGCATTTGAAGTATTTGGACCTCAGTTCCAATAATGTTGCAGAGAGCCCCGTCCCAGAATTCATTGGTTCCTCTAGCAGTTTACAATACCTCGATCTTTCACATAATCATTTTGGCAGTACGATTCCTAATCAGTTTGGGAATCTTTCCGAATTGCGTTCTCTTGATTTGGGCTCTAATGATGATCTGAGTGTAAAAAGTTTAGAGTGGGTTTCCCATCTTTCTTTATTAAGATACCTTAATCTGAGCTATGTTAATCTTAGGAATGCAATAGATTGGATGGAAGCACCCAATATGTGAGCCAGTGCGTCCTGTGATTAACCGAAGTTTGACCCGATAATGGATCCGAGTGTGGAAGCAAAAACCAAAACCAAGTCTCTAGATATGCAATGCATCTCTAAGACACCAAAGTGACCTTCCATGAGGCCACGGAACTCAACGAGAACAACACGGAAGAAAAAGATCAGAAAAAGGTCATATAAGCCCTCAAGGGCAAAATAGTCTTTTTACATAAAAACAATATCTCTAGAAATGTACATCATCCCTAAGACACAAGCGTGACTTCCCATGAAGTCACGGAACCCAAAAGAAAGCAAAGCGGAAACAATTTAAAAAGAGAAACTGGACAAGTTTAGCCCCAAGGGCAAAATGATAATTTTTAGCAAGATTTGGGTTCTACTGAGCACACCATTGGATCGATGACGAAAAATTAATCAAGCTAGCCTCAAAAATCACTTTATTTGGAGTCCGAATGAAGAAGATAGGCTAAAAACAAAATTAGAGTCGAGGCGGCCAAAAAAGGGGGTACCAAGGCACCCCATGCGCGCGCGGAGGCCAACCGCGCACACACAAGAATGCTTGACAGTAGGTGCCCCCTTTTTTTCAGATTTTGTTGAAACAGATAGCTTTTTGGACCCTTACATGAATTTTTTTTAGAAAAACATAAAGAAGAAACCCCTCTTAAAATTAAGTTTTCTACCCGACCATGTCGAAAGAAAATTTTTAAATACGATGTGAAATGCGCAGAATGCCTCTGGATCAATTTAAGTCAAAAACGATGAAAATGCAACTTTGCACCAATTGTTCATTTGACCCTAAATGGTATTGTGTGCTAAACCGATCATGCACACAAACATAAATAGTGATTTTAAGTGCATGGGAATAACCCGTGGGCCCCATACAAGCCCGATGCAAAATTTGACCTATCAAATCTCAAAAATGCCTAAAATGGACTTTTAAAAGAAAATTTTAAACTTAAAATTATAAAATGGTTACGAAAGACCGTTTGGTCCTTGACCACACTTCATGCATAAATAAAGGGACCCTATGGAAGTGCTAAAGCACACTTCCCACCACCCATGCAAATGCAATAAAGCTAAAGCATGTTATTTTTCTATTTTTCCACAATATAGCTTGAAAGTAAAAGTACTCAAAATACAAATAAAAAGTACTTGGCCTATGGCCTCATTACATACATGTCAAATACAAATCAAAAGGCGCACTTATGTGCACATTACATATATATAACCAAATATACAAGTTTTGACATTATAAACCAAAAATAGTATTTCATGCTAACAATTGCATAAATCAAATATTTCAAGTCTACAAAACATCCAAGCCATAATGTGAATCCCAAAACATGATTTCTTGTACCTGAAACTAAGTCGTATTCAGCGGGGTGAGTAACTTGTATTACTCGAAGGGAATGAGCATGCATAGACCTAATTTTTTACATAATTATCACATTAATGTGAAATAATTCATAAGGTTCATGCCACCTACCGTCTATGTCAAAAATGAGACTCAGGGATCATCCTAAGCTATTTTAAAGCATTTCTAGCATAAACTACAATATTTATGCAAGTAAACAACGTAGGAGCATACGGTATGACGCAACAAGATATAGGTTATCAAAGTTATCAACTTGTAACCTAAAATACGAAAGCAACTAAAGCGGTCCATGCCACCTAACATCTATGTCCCAAATGAGTCTAAGGAATCATCTTAGGTTATATTAGAACAATAAAACACAAATCACAATATCAATGCAATTTAACTAACATTGGAACTTCCAAAACAATGCGACAAAATATAGATTATCAAAGTTATCCATTTGAAACCTAAAATGCGTAAACAACTAAATATTACAATTTAGCATAATTAGAACTTCTAATACATCGCAACGAGACATAGATTCTCAAAGTTATCAACTTAAAATCTAAAATGCGAAAACATCAAGTTATAACAATTTAGTGCTATTAACTTGAAACGAAAAAGCAAAATCAACAAAGGCGGATATACTTGGACATCAATCGGATCAGACTGACACGGGGTTACTTTTGGACTACTAACCCATGGGCGACCTACCCTACATGCGCACTAGACCATAGGGGGAGCTCTCATCCCTCTTACTAGAACCATCTCCTAGCCGTAGTTATACTTTCAACATCCCAAGTTTCCAAATCAACAAGTTGTGTAACAACATATATATCAACATGTATATACAAGATAAAAGTTATATACCATGCACAATTCAATTTTGAAAACACACAACACATGCTCTAAGTCCACAACTACTATGGCATGAAAAATGTCGAATCTTCAGTGTCGAATCTTCACACACTATAACAATATTATTCAATATTGAAAATATAATCTCATGAATATAATACCAGTCTGAAATCATAATTTAAACATTCAATCAACATCAAATACATGATTAAGTCTTTAATGCAATAGAATCGGAAATTAATTAAATAAACTAATTAATTTCTCTACATTTCAAATCTCATCCAATTAATCCCTAATTAACATATATGTCAAGATCATAACATGGTCATTACATATATCAAATCAAAAACTTAATTAGGTCTTTGAAACAACAAAATAAAATTTAATTAAAACAAAATAATTAAATCTCTAGATTCTAAAGCAACTCCAAATGGCCCCAAATTAATACATGCTAGTAAACAAGTCCTAGTCATTATAAATGTCAAGTTAAAAACTTAATCAAATTAATGGAACCATTAAACAGATTTTAATTAATTCGTTTAATTAAAATCTCTAAATTTTAAAACTCATCCAAATGCTCTCAAATTAAAATATGTTAAAGAACATGTCAAGGCTTAATTTAATAGCATATCACAAGTTAATTCTACACTATTTACAATTAGATATATTAAACTCAATGCCAAGAAAATAATTAAATAAAGTTCTCCAAACTTATCCAAATATTCTCAATTTAATATATGTGATAGAACATACTTAAAATAAAATTAATTAATTATTTTTTTCTAGATTTTAAAACAACTCCAAATATTCTCAAAGTAACATATGTTAAAGATAATGCAAAGGCTTATTTTAATACCACATTGCAAGTTGATTCCATGTTAGATACAACCATGTGAATTTAATTTTCATACAAGAAAATAATTAAATAAAAGTCTCAAAACTTATTCAAATATTTTCAATTTAATATATGTTAATGAACATATCAAGGCCTAATTTAATAGCATGCCACAATTTAATTCCACATTATATACAACTATGTGAATTAAATGTTATACAAAGAAAATAATTAAATTAAATTCTAGATTATGAACAAAAGTATGCATACAAGTTGTATAAGTATCAATAGCATGTAATACATCAAGAATTAGATCCTATAACATCCCCTACCTCAATTTGAGATGAAAATCTCAAAAGCCACCTAAAGGAAACCACTCCGAATCCGACGATACTTCGGGGTTATGTCGGGGACAACGAGGGAAGCAACTATCCCCCTTGAGGCATCACCAAAATCCAAACCCGAACTCAAAAATGGTCAAAACCAGATTCTAATAGAGGGGAAACGAAAATCTCGCCAATCCCGACAATAAAGTATTAATCATCGAGGCAAAAATCAAGGAGGAAGAGGGTTGATTTGGGAAAAGAAGGGTGGCAGTCATGGAAGAGTTGAAGAACTGGGTCTGCAGCAGTGGAGAAGAAGAGAAAATGAAATGATTTATTTTCCAAACCCCTTATTTATAGAAAATCTCAAAAAGTGCTCTGAACAGGTCCCGCCGGGTCCCGAAAAGTGAAATATGCACAGACGCGCCCAAACAACGAAACACCATGATCAAAAAAGAACCAAAATGAGAAAAAATGAATAATGGAATAAACAGCGTCGATAACTGAATCCCGGGCAGAAAGATATGCCCCGAACAAGGCCGGCGGCAATCGAGGTTAGAAACCCTAAAACTGGGGAAAATAACTATAAGACAATTCTAAGAGTACGCGGCTTGACAAAAAGTGAAAATAAATCATGTACGAGGATCCAGGCTCAAAACGAGGCATTTTGCAATAACTTTCATTAATTGTATAATGGCCCCTACAAAAAGGGATACCTACAAAACTACCCAGAATGAAAATATCTTCCAAAAGTTATTTTCTTAAAACTCCTAATCAAAATATCTCCAAAGGATATTTATGAAAAACACCCCAAGAAACCAAAATGTTTCTGAAGAATCCCTTCATCCATACCCTGCGAGAAAAAGAAACAACCGGCGAGCTTTTCTCCAAAATTAAAGCTACGTGTTTCGAGGAAATCAACTACAATGAAAACTCGTGAATTCAAAAATCAATTTCGAACACGAAAAGTGAAGTTATGTCAAAAAAGTGACAAATGGGGAAAAGGACGAAAAGTGAATAGTGTCAAAAAAAAGAAAATGTGAAAATGACGCGGTCCTCACAAGGAAATTATCAATCCAAAGGAAGGAGTCTCGGAAACCATTCCCAAGCACTCGATATGACACCAAGTGACGAAAAACCAAACTCGAAAAAGATAAATCAACGGAAAAAAAATATCCGTAAAATTTGAGGAAAATGAAATGAATGAAAATGACCGGGTCATTACACAATAAGCTCCCTCTCCTAACGGAATTGCACTTGAGTCATTGTGTTCTCCCCGATATCGCTTTTTTGATTTTCTACACTTTCACTCCAATTTTGTTTTTTTGTATTAGCTAGATTTTCAATACTTGAATGACAATCTTTATAACAATTCTAATTGTTTCTATGTGACAACAACGGCGAATATGGACAGAGTGTGGAGGCAGCTTCATAGCTAATAGGTAAATATATTTAATTCCTCTCGTTGTAAACTAATGTTAACAATTTTAATTCCTCTCGTTGTAAACTAATGTTAGTTGTTCAATTTCACATTTTGATTAAACAGATTACTTACGTTGTTTATATTGTTCAATTTTTTTTGCATTTTCGGTGTATGCCACTCAAGTTCTTGCTTGGACGACTTCGAGTTTTGCATACCATCCAGTACTGCAACTATCTCCTAGGCCTCTCTATTTCTTGAAGAATATATTGTATAACTATTCTCTACATTATTGGTACTAGATTTAGTTAGTGTTGATTGAAGCACAACCATATGGTGTTGGACTATTTGTATGAGGAATGGTTGTGGCCTGCAGGGCAATCCAAATTAAATATATTACATAGTTTGTTGTTTAATATTTGCTTTCAAATGTACCATTTAAAATAGGGTTTCTTGAATATTATTATTGATAGTGATAAGGCCTCTTTTCTAGATGTAAGTCATGCTTAATTAATAATCCCTTAAGAGTTTTTTTTTTTTTTTTTCTCATAATCTCGTTTTCTAATTCGATACTTAATGTCATCCTCCTCTATCAAGTTTAACCCTGAAACAAAGTAAAGCATGTGATTTTACCACTAGGCCAATCCCTTGTGCGCGCGCGTGTCGCTACCTTGTAGTAACAATTAGACATGACAAAAGCAAAATATTCAAAACATTTCTCTATATTTGAGAGAAGTAACAAATTACTAAATCCACTGAGACATTGAGCACATTTGTGTACATTGCCACTAGATCATATAGTCCCTGATTAAAACATAGAAACTATCTTGATGTATGCACAAGCATCAGTCGAAAACTAGATAGAATGGTCAATACTATGTCAAACAATGTATTACCCGTGCATTGCGCGCATACAATACTATGTCAAACAATGATCAATATATTTATAATATTATGTTCATTGAATTAAACCAAAATAAATAAAAAGATGACAAAGGAGATTAAAGAAAACAAGTAATGACTTCTTCTATTGAATCATTGCTTGGAGCAAACTACAATCTCCAACCAACAAAACATAAATGAATTGTTAGAAGGCAAAAACCTTCGTGATATCGATGTGATCATAACTAAGTGATTGGCTGACCCAGTCAATAAAATGGCCAAAACATTACTATATTATAACACAATGGTCATCAACAAAAACATAATTGGCCTATAAAGAACACAACAGAAAACTCTATTGAATCATTACTTGGGGCAACTCCATCCGATGATCTCCAACTCTCCAACCAATCAAAACTAAATGAAAAATTAGACAGAAACCTTCATAATATGGATGTGACCCGAACTGAATGATCTGTTGACCCAGTCAAGAAAATGGGCAAGGTAGGGTGCCAATCTACCGTCGTAATAGCTGCACTATGAGGAAGAGTTCTCATTCCATTTGTATGACCTCGAACCTAGTAACATGGAAACTTGCATCAGAGCAAAAGCATTACATATCTTGAACGCATGGCAAAGGCCCATTGTATGATATATTATTAGCTGTAAGTTTACAACCAACCCATGGCTAAGAATGGTAAGGATCAATGAGTTAGCAAAAAACAATATTAGATACAGCAGCACAAAACCAGATCACACACTTCATGTTATGTTAACTTTTCGGGGAAAAAAAAAAAAAAAAAAAAAAAAAAAAGGATTAAACGCGCTGCACGTGTGTGAGAAATGTATCAATACAAATATATAAACATATATATATATATACACAAAGAAAGAAAGACAGAGAGAGAGAATGGAGAATTACTTGATATATGGGAGCTCTTACTGAACCAGATGTTACCAAGAGTCTTTTCCCATTAGCATCTAAAGTCATTTCATGTCTAAAGTAAACTGAATCATCACGGTTGCAAAACCTACATAATGGAACACAATGATGTCACCACAGTTCCTTCTGCATAAATTAATGTACAATGATTTTGAAGATACCATTAAAAAAAGTTATAACTATGCATAGGACAACTAGGGAAAACCCAGTGCACGAGACTCACACCATTGCGGGGTCTAATGAGGGTCAAATATACACAACCTTACCTCCACATGCAAAGAGGTTGTTTCTATGTTTCGAACCCGTGACCTCTAGGTCACAATGGAAAACCTTACTGTTGCGCCAAGGCTAATCCTCTATGCATGGTCAAATAACTCACACGCAATATTAAGTACACCATACCATTAAAGAAACAAGATCATATCAATTATATAAAATTAAAAGAGACATTGGAAGTTGAACATACTATCATGGTATCAATCTAAAGAGTCAAACTACAAAACTTAGGATGGTACCCTATTTAAGGACTAAGACATTTGATAGCTCAATTAATATAATAAGTGATTCTCCAATTAAGTATGCAATCTGAATATCACTTAAATGAATAAGTTCAATTAAAATATAATGAAATCAAATTTTAAGTGAAGACAACTTCATATACCACTAAAGACGACTTCATATCACATTATCGTTTCTTTTACTTATCAAAAATAAAAAATAATTAAATAAATAGAAAAAGAACACTTGAATTAAAACAATCATTGAAGAAGTCCTCAATTTATAAACTTAAAATTCTCGTCTTAGAATCATTGGTGCTTAATTTTAAGTGTTACGGGTTAAATGGAGGAGTGCTGTTGGTATATTATGTGATCGAGGTATAGCTTTAAAATTTAAAAGGCAAATTTATAAACTATTAAAAGATCAAGCACTATTCAAATTTCTTTGTGTTTACCTAATGTAGTTTTTGTCATTTTGATAGACCAAGGGGGCTTAAACACAGCCGTTCACACCAATTATGTGGCTACTAATGGAAACCATACCAAATATCAAAATCTTCCCCAAAAGAAAAGCCAGTATGTACAAATAGTTCAAGTTCAAAAACTTGATGCGAGTCTGATAGAATTTTTATTACTTTATTTTAGCAACTTCCATATTTCCAAAATATTAATTTAAGAAAAAAAAAAAAATTCGGTAGGTAAAAAACGTCACTCCATGAAACCTTATAACCACACAAGAAATTGATTCACTATCTTTAACAAAATCAAGTGTGTTGCGTACTAAGCATAAAAAGGATCACATAGAAGTGGTGATAAAGATCTTGCAAAAGAAAATAAAATTGTTATTACACGATATTCCAAAATAATATTGTGTGATTCACTATTTTCATTTCCCAAATTCACAAGACAGTTAAATTACGACATCACTGTCCAAAAGATAGTAAAACACCAATTAGGTAATAGGCTTCACTAAGAATTAGAAAGCCACCTTTCCAGAATAATGACTTACAACTATAATTCAATTTGAATCCACCACTCAACTAAATGTTTTTAATAAAACAAATTAATTTACTTTGAAACTAAAGGGCCAAGCAAGTCAAGTACCTGCTGCAATTTCTTGACCAAAGAACTTTACCTTGGTTTTGCAAGCTCCATTCAAATATCTGATAGACAGAAAATTATCTAGTGAGATTCTCCAGAATCAGAATAACATAAATCTACAGCAAAATGGCTGCTGGAAAACATATGATTTATGAAGTTCAGGATGAGTAACAATTACTCCAATGCACGAGCAAATGTCAATCCAAAAATATGATATAGGTAAAGGGTTACTTGCCTTTCCATCGATATCCAAACTAAAAATGCTGGTTTCATCAGGCCCAAAAAGAACAGAACTAATAGCAGAATCATGAGCTGGCCACCCAGTAATTTGCAGTCCGGCAGACATATCTTTGGCTAAGTTAAGGTGTATAATTCATCTGTTTGTGTATGCAAGGCGCTCAACTATCTAGAGATAAAGTTTTTGTTTAAAAAACAATTCTATAAACCTCAGTCTGTAACACCTTCCCAAAAGAAGAAGAAATAAAGGATACGAATTTATTGCCTAAAACAGCGGAACCATGGGACTTCAACACTTGAAGAAAAACAATATTGACCTAGGCGCCTAGTATAAATTTAACATTCTATAAGGATACCAAATATGTGAATCATTCCATCAGTGGCAGCAGCTGCTAAAATCTTGCCATTGTGATTGAAACATAAGGAAGTAATTGCAGGTGGATCTTTACCAAGAGGAAGGACTGCCTTCAATGAAATCGAGAAAACAATAAGGCTTAATTATTCTCATTGAAAATTGATTCCTACATTGACATACAAATTTCTGGGACAAACAACATACCATAGCCTTCCATGTCTTCATGTTCCAGACAGTTAATGATGCAAAACCCAACTTATCAATATAACTTGTCCCATGCCTACAAAGACAATGAGGTTGTAATAAGTTTTTGTGCAACCATATTTAAGGAACAAATAAACAAGTGTAATGATAACACAATTGAACTTCTTAGAACAATGTCTAAAGCAGGGATAATATCCACAAGTATTAAACAAGTCTCCAATTAGCAATTCATGGAAACAGAACATGGTTCTACCATTAAAATAAATAAACCATGTTAAAATACCATATAATAAAATAATACGAGCTAGTAGAAAAATATGAAGCTTTAGTTCGTCAAATTTAGTCAAAAGAAAAAGAGAATTTAAAGTTTGACAGAGACGTGTTTTACCATAAATTAATTTTGACACAAAACTTTGACCGTGTGACTAATTTCTCTTTCAAACAGTCAGGTCCACATCTTGAAATTGACATAATCATGTTTAAATAGTAGACAGCCCAATGGTGTAATGAGGTGCACCTCATTCTAGCTTTTCTCTTTCAATAATACTTGTTTCCTTACTCATCTTCAAAGTTCAAACATCACTCTCACCGTTAGAATTACCTTACCACATTCCAATTACATCATCTATATAAATCTACATAAATCGTGCCACATTAATAAAGAATACTACACTCTTGTTTCCATTCCATGTTCCATAATAATTGTCATTCAAAGTAACCTTTGGATCGGGTACACATTTGTCCACCATTCAGTACATCTCTTCCCTTAATTAAATTACAAACAACCATTTTCTCACATTATTATATTGAACCTTGTCCTAGGATTCTTATCTCTGTTATTCTTTCGAGATGAATCCAACCACTATTCTATACATAAAGGCTTCCATTGTACACAACGAACCATCTTAAATGATTGTTCTACATGTCTTTTTTTCAACAGTGAACCTCTAACTTCTCATGAATGCATTCATTTGTTACATTAACGTTTCTTGTATTACCAGTTATCAACACAAAATCCTCATTTCAGCCACAATCATTTCATGAGCATGCTTCTTGATTGCTCAAAATCCCCATTTCATTTGATAACTAGTTTATAATCACAACTCTGCCATAGCATTTCTTAATTTATGCATTCCACTGCTTCTCTATGGGCAACATCTGTCAATCATCTAGTGGCACTAATAGTCTCTGCTCTATAATAATAAATAAGTTCTTCAACAATCCCATGGTTCAAAGCAGTAGACACTAATGACTCAAATACCTAAAAGCCTACGATATTTTTTTTCCATCAGGAAAAATCCAACTATAATAGTAGTTAATGTGAGTTGTACGCGGCGGAATATTTAGAAAGTTTTGTATTTTTAGAAACAGATCTGTGTATTTCTAACTTTACTTATTTTAGCAATTAAATAACTAATCACATTCAAGATAATTAAAGCAAAGTAAAAAGTTAGAGATGACACCAGGATTTTTAGCGAGGAAACCCCAGTTGATAAAATACGTCAACTGTTTGCGTGAGAAAAACCTCATGGATTGTGCAGTCCAAAGTAAAACGATCCACTATGCTTGAAACAACGTACACTGAACTTTGACTCTAGCTCACACCCTATCGTTCTACCAAACACCAATAGCTGACAATCCTCTAGCTTTGCGACGTCCCGTCCAACAGCAACTTGACTTCAGGCTTATGCTTGATCTTGGTAGAAGAGTAGCAGGTAGATCAGACAACACTCCTCGAATGCTCTGACCCTTTCAAAGTGTGATCGCTTTTACTTCTGTTCTTCAACTGTTTTTCAATATCTGAATTTGATGTAGAAGTAGATCTGTTTTTCTCTAATCAATGTAGATGCAACTGTATGATCACGATCAGGATTTGAACAACACAACTCTAAACTCACTATGTGTTTATGTGTATATTCTAGAAAGATAACAGAGAAATCAACTTTGATTTTCTGCAAAACTAATATTTCTAAGGCTTTTATAAATTATGAATTGATAGTGCAAAAGCCATGAATAAACCTAGACGACTAACAAGGTTTGTATAGAGTTTAGAATGTCCTAATCCCTCTGAAAATATGGAAAACTTCGTGCATAGGACTTGGTACAATTCTAAACCAACTAGGACAGAAATCTGAAACAAGATTGCAAGGTTTCCATAAGCTGTAAGGAGTCTTGAACCAGTTCAGGAATATGGGAACCGGTTCAAGTATAGCAGGAATTAATTCGAAGGCAAAACTGAAGAGCTTGAACCGGTTCCAAGAATCTTGAACCAGTTCAAGTGTGGCAGTGAAAAATAGAAGCAACTTTGAAGATGCTTGAACCAGTTCCAAAAAGCTAGAACCAGTTCCAAGAAGCTAGAACCGGTTCAAGTCTGCCAGACTTGAATCCTAAGGCTGAAACTTAATTTTCGTAAAATATACCAAGTATGGAACGTGTCCTAACCTTTTTAGATTTCTTCCTAAAGTGTTATTCTTTCCTTTCTGTGATGATCTCAATTATGGCATCTTTGAACAACCTTCCAATTCCGCAGTCGTTGTCAATCTTGATATGGTAACTTGAAATTACAACCCGACTAAGACTTGTTTTGTCAAACGATAATTGCCGATTACAAAAATACATCTCACAGTTAAAGACCACATAAATTTAGAACTTCGGTTTGGATTATTTAAGCTGATTTTGATCACAAGGGTGGGCTAAAGCTTTTAGTTTGAAAATTGTATTTTAGTTAATTAAATAAAAGGGTAAGTATCCAGTGTGGTCACATGCAAGGATGACCACTAAGTGCGCCAGTTAGGAAAAGTGGCATGGTCAATATCGAGGGTCACACTGCAAGAAGGGGAAGACCAAGGAAGGATATCATAATAATATGCAGTTTAACTAAAGCTATGGCCTTGGATAGAATGGAATGGAAAAAAATTAAAACATATTTAGGTCTCTAGATGATAATTTATACAAAAGAGTCATGCTTAAAACGAAAAATTACAAAATTAAAAACAAACTGCTTTCTATATGTATTAACAAAACAAAATTATCAGCTTAAAACACAACCTTCAGTTTTTTAAGAGAGAGAGAGAGAACCTACTCACTTATGCTTCACCACATAATTTCACAGGGCAAATAAAAAGGTCAACATGTGATGTGACATCAACACTCCATTAGATTCCATGGGGTTAATGAGATTCATTACATAGTTACTCAGATTTAGTGGAAGGTCACCGACCAACTCAACCCATAGGATTAAATCTAACCTAGAAAACTGACCTATAAACCAGACGGGATGTACTTGAGAATCTCTTAGGAAACAGACCACAAGCGACTGCTCCTGTCCCAAACAACCATGAACTTCAGTAATTATGACTGAAACCTAAGCAAAACATTATGCAAAAGATGTTCGATGAAGAAGACATAAATTCCTATAGTTAGCCCAAACTATGCAGTAACAATGCCAGCATAGAATTGCAGAAAAAAATAAAATAAAATAAAAAACTAAAAAACAACTTAAGTGGTATAACTGAAGTTTCTCATATCATGTGCTATATGTTGGTAACAAGTCTATCAGTCCAGACCATGATTTCCAGTTAGAAACTGGGATTATAGGCGTCCTCTCCACAATTTATTCATCTACTTTTTGGCCTCTTTTTTCTCATATATAGACAAACATGGTAACATTCCATGTCATAACTATATTGATGCAATGCTATCCCCATATCCCGGCAACCTCCGGCCAATATCTCTATGAGATAAAGAAAGAACCATTTTTCACATCATGGATGCTAATGTGGAGTTGATCTTGCACCACAAGAGTTGTGTTAACCTAGAAGCATAGACAAACCTATTGAAGAGTAAACTTTTTTCAGAAAGTCTATGGGATGAATTAAGAAGAATCCTTCGTGCAGTCAGTACTTGTATAAAATGAAGAAAAGACCATTTTCGCATCATATATACTTTGTGGAATTGATATTGTACAAGAGTTATGTTAACCAGGAAGTATTGATGAACCTATTTTGAAAGGAATCAATTTTCAAAAAATACAGTTTAAAAGAAGCTGCCCATGACAGATGTCAAACTTTGCAGTAACAGATTAGATAGAATGCACATTTGCAATAATTTTCCATTTCTATTCACGGGATCATCAATGTGAGCTTGGTAAATACTCCATGTAAAAATCCAGCAATATCATGCTCTGCTACAAAAAATGTCAAATTATTTGTGTCAGCCTTAACTCAGAGGGTTATATATAACATGATTGACTTCTTAGTTTAACCTATCAAACAGAGAATGCAAAAATATGGAGGAATATTCATTCTATTGGTTTTCATGATAGAAGATTTTAGACATTTTCTATCTTTTTGCTATCTGTTTATTGGAAGCGGAGGGTCTCCATTTCCTTCTCTGTTCCGTGAAGATTTTTGTTCACATTTATGATGTACTTTACTGTTATCATTAACAAAAATTTAACCACCATTCAGGGGGGAAAAAAAGGTTCACAAACACCAGCCAGGACTTCTTACTACCTTTGACCCAAGTAAATTAGGATGCCCTGCCTCTGGAGAATGCTAGCAACATGAGCTGGAAGCCTATCAATTGACTTTTCAGTGCAGCAAGCAGCATAATTCAATTTGGTAAAATAATTCAATTTGGTAAAATAATCATCAAGTTATATACTCATTCACTCAAGCCCAGGGTTCAGATTATAAACACTTTCAGGAAAAAATTAAGTCTAAGAAGACAGTACCCTCTGGATGATGCTGCAGAAACAAAAATTGGTTCCACGGGGCTGCATTTTAGATCCAAGACACTGCAGTAAAATATTGTGTGATGACTTATAAGCAAGAAGACGTGAGAGTTCAAAGGCTAAATTTTCTTTCTTGGTTTGTTAGCAGTTTGAAGTTCGCAAATAAACACCTGGGAAATGCTTCTGATGTGTTGAGATCACAGACAACTCTTTTTGCATCAACATTCCATGCTTTAATGCCTCCATCAGCAGTGCCTATGAGAAGCTTTTGTGAAAAAAAAACAATAAAATTTGCAATCATTAATATCTAGTTCCCAACAATCAAAACATCGTTCCAAGATGGAAACAGTAAATAAAAATCTTACAATATTAACTCACATACCAAACGATCAGATTTACAATCCCACTCAAGCGACATGATCTCTGCCCCAGAATAGATGGTCGCATTTCTTGATGAAGGGATTGACGAGTCATATGTCCATATCCTTCAACAACACAACAGATCATTACCCAGTGTTGGTCAAGCATATACAGGGTCCTTCAACATGACATTCATAATTAAATTAAGATTGTGATTAAACGTAAGGAAGGAGCTGAACGACTACTTTAGCCTAAGTATCCTCTAAAATGCTTATAAAGGTAGGCGCTCTAATCAGTGCACCACCTCAAGGGACTGAAATCATTGAAATGTCAACCAAATTTTGCACTCCAGCCACTTAAATATGAATGGTTGAAGTGCCTAACTGATTTTGAACCCATAAAAGAGCATTGATCAAAAGATTAAATTATGAGATCCATGGTAGCTGCACATAACCACAAATACCAGCCTTTTAACAAGTTAATAATTCCCACATTATTTCTCCAGTAATTTGAACATTATACCAGCTTTCACAGAAAATACCTGACCGTGCCATCCACAGAAGCACTTGCAATATTGTTCCCAGAGGCAGAAAAGCGGCAGCAACTGATTGGACTTGTGTGACCTAAAAATGTCTCCTAAATTATGGTTTGCAGCAAGATAAGTAGCTTCAGTAACCAATTTTACCAGAAAAATCTGTGGTAATGCACAACATGGAAGGCACAAAATACAGAGGTAGTACACTTTTATTTGCAAAGAAACATCAAAACTCGTATTCGATTGTGTAACCAATTTTACCTGAAACTCTACTTTCACTTCTGGGAGTTCTTCTTCCCCCTGCATTTCACTGCCAGCTCCTGTCACAACAGAATCAGTAATTACCTTACCATATATTTGCATGAATCTAAGATATGTATGGAGGTTTAATACCAAATAAAAGGTTCCTTATTACAGCTACTCGTGGTCAACAAAAAGAATCTTAATAGCCCATCTCAGCCCACAAAAATCATGGTTGTAGTGATTGTTGCACCCCACATTCTGATAATCGGATCACACAATCCTAAATCTTACTATGGATTTCTATTCAAGTTCCACGGCAAATGACCGGTACATATCAATCATATAGTGCTACAAAAACATCAACCAAACAATGAACAGAAGAACCTTAAGTGAAAAAAAAAAAATTGAAATTACACCCTAGGTTTCTACAGAACATCTACATCTTGCAAATATTGCAAGCCTTGCAAAATCTTCCCTCTATAAATCCAAAAACAAAAAACACTACATTTCATATCATAAACCAAAACCAAAAAATTCATTAGGGACCACGGCCGCTAACATAGCCCAAGCTTTACCCGATCCGTGTGGGGGGGCACCTTGCACGGGTCCCATGGATTAGTCAGGCCAATGCCCCGGACACCCCGGTTATCGAAAAATAAATAAATAAAATAAAATAAAATTCTAAATCTCCAGTAATTTCATAATAAAGCAACTTTTTGCTAGTAAACCCTCATCTTGACATATTATATCACTAGTGGAACGAGGTGTAATGGAAAAGTCTTATCAAAGATTGAACTAAAGAACCCCGGCTAAGGCTTAGCTCTCAGCAACAAAGCAGAGCAAGCTCTCTCTCTCTCTCTCTCACACACACACACATCCAAACACACATATTGTTTGTACACAAGATTTCCATACAGTTAATCTGTTTAAAGTTTTAAGTTCAACGCATATGTAGCAAAAAACTTGCAGAAAATTACCATTATAGATGACACGACTTCATCTAACCCAGTTGTATGCCAAAATAAACGTGTCCCTCTTCTGAACATTCTCTACGGAAAAAGTTGATTTTACGTGGAAACGCTTTTTGGCACCCATCTAAGCTTCTATCAAAAATCAAGAAACACAGTAATGGGAGGCAAGAGTAACCCTTAAATTTTGTTGCAATCGAAGTGAAAGAAAGGTAAGCGATCTGATGTTACCAAATGTTGGATATCCACTACCTTTTGCTTGACCGGGGAAAGAATAAAGATATTGACCTCTATAACGCCTTACGGCTACTTTTAACTCATCACTTGCCCCAAAACCTGATGCATCCTCCTAAGTTAGCATACTCACCTCAACAAAATATAATCCCAACTAGGTGGGGTTGTTTGCATGAACCATGTTTTTCCATTTTGCACATTAGATCTCACACTGCTATATCATTCCTTACTATCTCAAACCAAGGTAATTTTGGTCTTTCCCCTTCCCGTAACATGACCTCAATGTGGACTTTATCACTCTTTCACCCCACTCAACATCTCATATTCAGGCAAAAAAAAATTCTCATATTCAAATAGACTGAGGCAGCAGAACCTAATTGCAATGTGTAGCCCAATTTCCTGTACAGCATTAGAACTGAAGATGTTGCTGAATCAAAATTCACTAAAAAATCAAACCTAACTTGAGCATATTGAAGCGCAGTTTATGGAGGGGCAAAACCAATGGTGCACCATTGTTTTTTACTAAAACTAGTTTTTCAAAGCTCCCATTGGATAGGATGTGGGAGTCGGAATGAGCACAAGAAAGAAACCACTCCATTGAATTCGGGAGAACTGTTTAACATATTGGCTCATTTTATCAACTTGATAGGTGTGAAAAGAACATCCATGCCTGAAAATGGTTGACTATAAATAATACTATAAATGGCTCGAGAACTGACTTCTTGGGTTCAAAAATATTCTTGGATTTTCTGCGTGAGGATTATATTTCAAGGTTTCTAAAATAACTACTTGAACTTCATCGTATATAAGCAGATGAGAGAGGGACCAGTTACTTTGCTAATTTTTTTATTAAAAAGACCATGGCTTATGGAATATGGCAAGTAATTTTAGCAAAATAGTCAGAAATTACAAGTAAGTTGGTTTCTTTTGTCATGAGACTAACCCTACATTTTTCTTTTTACTAAAGTAAAAACCACACAAGCCCATACCCACAACAAACCCCAAGTGGGGCTCGAACTCTCTACCTCGCCTTTTTGGAGGAGAGATCGTACAATCCAGGCTAGAGGCCCGGTGGTGACTAACCCTACAATTTGATTTTAAAGACCCTAAAACCAATCCATTAAGAAATATCTAATCCCAAAAGCTTACTTGTGCTTATGTCCCTTCAGTCTCCCTCTCCAGTAGACCGCAATAAACATCTTAACTCTAACCAACTAGCATCTTTCCACTCATCATTTGTCTTCTCTTAATAAGACAATCATAAAACTATTTTTAACTAGTGTATACATTTAACTACTACGTTTTCCCAAATGCAATGATCTCTAAAATCACTTTCACGCGGATTTTTTTTTATAAGTAAAATAAAAAAATAGACCTGATCTTCCATTCATTCTTCAGTTTGTATTCTCTTCTAAGGCTCCCGAACTCATTGGAGATCAAACCAACATGAAGTCCAATAACAAGTAGAACATTTTTCAAGGTGACATAACATTTTTGCCAGAAACAATTGTAGTATTTAAATGTAACAAACTGAAATTAGTACGTAATTATAATTGACTTTTAGTGTTTCCTATGTTTAAAAAACATGACACTGATAGCTATGGAGAAATGAATTCAACTATATTGAATCTGTATATATTTTACAAGAGCCTCCGTTGGGCTATATATAAGAAATTACAGAGAGAAAAATCAGCAACAAACTAAATTTGGAAACCCTATAATCAGGAATTCTTGATTCTCTATCAATCAAATCCCTAAACTCTAGGAAACAAATATTTACACAATTCTAGTGCTAACCTACCACTAATTAAGGAGACTAACTCGTATTTTTCCACACTCCCCCTCAAGCTGGTGAATAGGTGTCAACCATTCTCAGCTTGGAAATAATTTCTTGGAAGATAACACGGTTGAGCCCCTTTGTAAGAACATCTCCCATTTAACCTCCCGTTGGAACGTATGGTGTGCAAATTGACTGTCTATCTCGATGTGCTTAGTTCAGTCGTGTTGCACTAGATTATGTGCAATATTGATTGCTGATTTATTGTCGCAGTAGAGTCTCACTGGCCCACTCCATTTAATCTTCAAGTCTTCCAGTATAATCTTCAGCCATAACAACTCGCAGACATCTTGTGCCATTGCTCTAAACTCGGCTTCTGTACTTGACCGGGCTACAACATTTTGCTTCGCCAAGTTACCAAATTGCGTCCAAGGAATGTACAATAACCTGAAGTAGACCTCCGATCCATGGGGATCCTACATAATCTGCATCTGTATAGGCTTCGAGGACAAGCTCAGAGTTTCTCTTGAACATCATCCCCTTCTCAAGATTAGCTTTCAAGTAATGAAGCACACGGTAGGCAACTTGAAGATGAATCTCCTTTGGGGTCATGCATGAATTGGCTGATGACATTAACAGAATATACTATCTCCAGCGGGGTGTGGGCAAGATAGATGAGTTTTCCAGCTAATCTCTGGTACATCTCTCTATCTACTGCTTGATCTCCAATAGCCTCTCCAAGTCTATGGTTCGGCTCTATAGGTGTTGCAGCTGGTTTGCTTGCGAGCATTCCTGTTTCCTTAAGAAGATCGGTGACATACTTTTGTTGCGAGATGAAGATACCTTGTCTAGAATGAGCCACTTCAATCCCTAGAAAATACTTCAATCTCCCCAAATCTTTTATCTCGAATTCTTTTATCCTATGTTACCCGGACTCGGGTATGGGTGTCGAACACAGGTACGTGTCTAGGGGTCGGATTCGTCAATCTATCAATTTTCAGGATACGGGGACACGGATTAAAAGTGTCCAAATATTGGACACGGGTACTTGGACACTTTGAAAAGAGAGAAAAATTTGTAAGTTTTTTTTTTATGTTTGAGACATTAATCATAAAACTAAAAAATATATATATCAATCGTACTTTTTTATAAAAATTTTATAATTATTACTGCATTTGTTTGCCTCATTTGATTTGTGGCATGTCATGGCTATGCATTCCCCTGTTACTGCTATTTTATGGAACCTGTAAATAAGAAATTCTAAACTGTAGGGCTTCTTTGTATACCCAAGGGCGGGTTTGGGCTTGGGCTAATATGCCTCTGTATGTGCATCTTGGCATTTGGGCCTGTACAAGTCAAAGCACGATTAAAAAGAATGACTAATTCAATATGGGCTAATATGTCTTTTTGTGCATTTTAGTCAGTGATTGATGCTTGGGTTTTGGGCCTGCACAAGTCCAAAGCACAATTAAAAAGGAGGCCCATTCAATGTACATGGTATTTATAAGAGTACTGTAAAAAGCAAAGTTACAGGCTTACAACTGTAACCCACCACAGTAATGCTTTATAGCTGTGTCCCATCCCTTATCTTTTCAGATCCAAATAAACAGGTGTTAAGTTATTAACAATTGCATGAAACCACGCTCAAGATGGCACAAAAAATTGAACAAAAGCCAGCGCGTGCTAGTTCACAAACAGCAAGTGTCTTCAACCTCCAGACCACCGATCCGAACCAGAACGCCATTGTTGAAATAGAAAGCTTCGTATGGCTACAGATTTAACAAAAAAAACACGAAAAAATTTCCTGATCCTTCACAAGCATCAAACTACACATCATTTTATGCATTTTCTTGGTCAGCCGTGTCCGATTGAAGAATGGAGGGTCGGACGCATATCCGGTGTCCGTGTCCGTGTCCGTGTCCGTGTCGTGTCGTGTCGACACGGGCACTCTGGCCTTCACTGACGAGTCCAGGTAACACAGCTTTTATCAAACATTATCTCAAGGCTTGCTTCTCCTTCTCATCATTTCCGGTTATAATTATGTCGTCCACATAGACTATCAAGGCCGTGACTTTCCCTGAAACCGAGTGTTTGATGA